ACCCTGGCAACTCGTGAGCACTCATCAGTTTGAGATAACAACCTCCAATCCAATATCGATACAGACAATAACGCCACTCTAAGCGACCCCGAAGTCCCTGTCCCATCACAAGAGCGGGGCTTGCCAGTTCTGCGGAGGACCGTCAGCTCGAGGCGCGGCAGCCTGCGCCCCGGCGCCTTGCTGTTGCTGCTGCTGTTGTTGTTGTTCCTGCTGCTGTGCCTCTCTTCGGATGCGTTCCATCCAGCGTCCGCGCACATAAATGAGCAGAGAAACCATGACGCAGACGACCACTAAGAGCATTGTCTCAGCAAAGTCGTCTTCGTCGTCGTCCCGCCTGCGTGTCCCTGATTCGAAGTAGTCCTCCGGCCCGAAGTCGCCGTCTCGATCGGCTTCCGCTTGTCTGCGCTCCCTGGCCCACTGGGACGGAAGGTACATGTCAGAACGGCGATCAGAGTGCGATATCGAAAGGACACACCTGCACCGGATCATCATCATCCTGGCCCGCCTGGTCAGCGTTCTGTCCGGTCTTCTTCCGCTTGTTGAAGTCTTCCCGAGCCTTCCCAAAGTACCATGTACCATCTTCCAGCTCATCAGGCTGACCGTCTTGTTTTCCTATACTCTGCCCATCGTCGGCATCGTCACCGCCCTCGATGGTCCGCCCTTGTGAGCGAGTGGCTGTTAGCATGGCCAGGAACGAGTGATCGTGAGTATTACCTACTGTTGTCGCTCTCCTCTTCACCCCATAGCTCGAGACCGCCAGAGCGCCCAGTAAGTGTTCTCCAGAGGCTCCGGGCATGCAGTTTCAGAAGCGCAATCGAGACGGGAACGGATGCTTCGGTATTAATGTCAAGGGCCGAGTCGTAGTGGCGTTTTGCCAGGTGGAAGTCCTTTACGTTTTACGAGTGTGAGAGCGTTTAGAGCGTGTGATTAGAGACCAACATACCTGGGGCACGCCGATGCCGTTCTCATACATCCAACCGAGGTTCCACATCGCGAGCGCACTCGTGTGGGTGTCGGCCGCAGACTGGTAGTAGCCTGCAGCCTTCTCCCAGCGCACCGTTTCTGGCTCTTCGGGGACACCCAATCCGTGGTAGTAGTAGTCGCCTACTTTGACAAGTGAGTCGACATTGCGCTGTGCCGCGGAACGAATCCACTGGGTGAGGGCAAGCCGGGCTGTGTCGTTAGAGGGTGATATGGGCGCGAATCTGGTGAACCGGAGGATACTCTTGTCTGCATCCATAGTCAGCTACCCGTAGTACTCGCTCAAACCATTGAAGCACACCTTGGTCGAGAACGAACGCAAGGTTGTTCTGGGCGACCTCGTTACCGCGCTCAGCAGCTACCCACCATCTCAACATCGCCATCTCATGGCCCCTCTCCGTCCCGAGATCCCACAGTTGTTCCGCATCGCCTAGGAGGTCCTCATCCCAAACACCGCGCTCCGTGAGGACCTTGTAGAAAGAGACCGCTACCGAGCATGAGCCCCCTGCAAGATGCGGAGAGACGACATTGGCCCGCGCATGCGAAGCCTGTATGACCGCGAGGTAGTAGTACGCCTCGAAGGGTGAGCCATAACGCATGGCATTCTCAAAGTAGGATGCCGCAACCTTTATATCACCTTGATCTACGCATCATCAGCGCCGCGCCTCTCATTGAGAATGAATTGGCTCACCAAAGTATATCTTCCCTAGGTTGACCGCAGCATCCGCAAGTTCCTGGCCAGCTGCGGCGGTGAAGTACTTCATCGCCTTCTTGACGTCCTTGCGCCCGTCCACGAGCCCGTCGCGCAGAATGATGCCCAGCCCGTTGAAGCTCTCCTTCTCGTTGAGATCGGCACCGCGCTGGAACCACATTTGGGCCGTCGGGACGTCGGCCTTGACGCCCTCCCCACGCAGGTAAATCCGTCCCAGGTAGCCAGCAGCGAGGGCAGCATACGCGGCGAGTGTCGGGTTCTCCTCCCGCAGAGTGGGCGGGGACGGCTCGCGCACGGGGTCTCTCGGCCAGACCTGGCGAGCGATCCGCAGGAAGTAGTACCGCGCGCGGGCAAAGTCTCGAGGAATAGCACTCGCCCCTTCACCACCCGATGCAATACCGCCGGGAAGGCCATATATACTGCCTTGGTAGAATATCTTGCCCAGGCGGAAGGCGAAGTCTGTCTCGCCACGATCTGCATTGAACTGCAACATACATTCAGGAGATATAACGATGGGGAGGCATATGGCGACTCACGAGATAGTATTCTAAGAGATCTTCCCAGGTCTCTCCTGCTGCTCGGGCACGCGCCGTCTTGATAACCGGCCTACCGGCCTGAGGTCCAGTCGAGGCTGAGCTTGCGCCAGGCCCATAGACGCCACCGACAAGGTCAGAAAGCTTGGGTGCTGCAAGGGGAAGCGTACGTCCGCCAGGAGGACCAGCCAAGAACTTGGCCATAGCTGACGAGGGGTCAGTGACTGCGTATGTCGTGGTAGGTTCAGCCTACTTTGTTCTGCTGCATCTTCGTACCAAGTCAGCGAGTCCATACAGTTCTCCGCTACCCCGATACCGGCCCAATATCTATAGCCCAGTGCCATTTGTGCGCCCTTGTGGCCACCATGCGCAGCGAAGGTCAGATAGAGTTGTGCCTTGGCTTGGTCTACAGGGACGACGCCGTGATAGCCAGTCGAGTGGAAGAAGCCCAGTACTGCCTGTGAAGACGCGTTCCCGGTTCGCTGAGCATGCGCAGAGTGACACTCGTACCCTAGACGTGGATTTGCTGGGAAGTAGCTATTCGGCGGAAACTGCAAGCATCCTTGAGCTGTCGTCAGACGGTTGAGGAGAAGACCACTGACCAGTGAGACTTGCCCCAGCATATACAGCGCGTCATTGTGACCCAGATCCGCCGCGTGCTGAAGCAGGTCGATGACCTTGACGGCCTTGCCGTGGAGTTCGACGTCCTTTTTCCTACCGCCCCCAAGCTCCTCCTTGACATAGCCTGTGATAGACGTTGGTAGCCATGATTGGTGGAGGAGCTTCACAGCTATTCGCATCGCGCTGGCTATTGGACCATGGCCTTGTATGCTAGGAAATAGCGTAGAAAGTTGGAACCCATTGTTACCGTGAGATAAGTAAGGGCTTGACTCTTCGCTTGGAGATGGTGGCAGAGCAGTCAATGTGGAGAGTGTAGACACAGCCTGGATGTATGCCCTAGTGGCTAAGAATGAAGCTCAATATACAGTCCTTCGCAGTGGTGTTAACGAAGCGTACCTTCAACGGAGGGGTCAACAACTTGGATATCCTCTTGGCCCTAATAACGCCATGAGATGTACGTCTCCAGTGCTACCACATACACGCACCTTACTTGCACTATCCTCCGCGCATGCAAAGGCTGCCAGAACTATGATGCCAAAGGATATCAGACTGGCTTTCCGAAGGCCTTTCCAACACTTCTTCCCCATCTTCGACGCGGCGACGAGCGAGAGTTGGAGTCAGAAGGAGAAGATGTGGCGTGCCGCGTGGAAGTAGTCGCTCGTAAGCAGTCCCTAAGTACGATCTTGTTGAATGTGGGGGAGGACGAGACAACGTTGGCGAGCCGCTGCGACTCGGACACGTACTTACAAGCACCTTATCAGACAAGCCTCATCTTATCGGACAAGCTAAATATGGTTTACTGTCGATCAGTATTTAGCCTTACTAAGATACGAGATACAGTAGGTAGTTAAACCATTAATATTTGATCCAATACCTCGAACTCTACTTTTGCTCTACGTCGCTCAGGCTATCCTCGTAGCCATATTGTCCACTACCACAGCACGATCTGCTGTGTACTCAGATCTCCAGTGATGGGGCCAACTCGCACAAAGGATTCGGGGCTCACAGCCGCGTCTACTTCCCGACTGGATGACCAGGATAGTAGCAAGCAGAAACGCGTAGGCAAGACCCACCAACACCACCGAAAACACAGTGAAGCTGCAGACGCACATAGTGGACTCCCGGGAGTGCAAAAGATCAAGTCGGCTCTTCGCCAGACCAGGAGATTACTCGCTAAGGTGTGTGGTGTGGTGCCTTTAGCTTCGCGAGTGATTTACCCAACAGGTATCTCTCTAGGATAAACTGGCCGCCGATGTGCGCACAAAAACAGAGCGGAGACTGAAAGCGCTTGAGGCAGACCTTGTTCAGGCGGAGCGGGCAAAGAAGGAGCGGGCACTGGCGCAGCGATATCATGCAGTGAAATTCTTTGGTATGTTGAGAGATACATCGTGTGCCAGGCTTTGGTCTCATACAACACTCCTACCATCAGAACGACAGAAAGTTACGCGCAGAATCCAGCAAATAAAAAAGCAACTCGCTAAAGGGGAGGATAATGAAGGAGAAAAGCTGAGAAAGAAAGACCGCAAACGACTGCAGAAGAAATTGGACGAGCTACGAGTAGACTTGAACTATATCATCGTAAGTCTCCTCCCCTTTCTTCTGAACGGCGCTGAGATATAGTCCCTTATGCAGCATTACCCGAAACTCAAGAAGTACATATCTCTCTTCCCCCCGGAGCTCCGCTCCGAGCCTCATGCGCATCCGGACCCGTACCCGCACACATACTTTCGCTCTGAGGAGCCGGCTACTGAGTCAAACACGGAGAAGGACACCGATGCACAGCGCGAGGAGGTTCGTGCATGGGTGCGCGAGCGGATGGCCGACGAACAGATGAGCGCAGGACCTGAGGTCGAACTACATACTCGAGAGAACAAACCCCAAGACACCCCTTCGCGGGAACAACAATCTGTTGCAAGGTTTGGGCCGACCAAGGACTCTGTGCCTGCGATGCCTCAAATTCTCAAGGGCGACGGATTCTTCGAAGGCGGCGATGGCAGTGAGGATGGCGACGGTGACGTCGGTGACGGGAATGAAGAAAAGGGCCATGATTGAAGCTGTCGTCTTAGAGGTACATTCGTTATGGGAGATTATGTATATTCATACTGTCTACGCGAAAGGTCCTCAACTACGATATGTGCGACGCTCAAGTCAAGGGGCATGTGGTGTAGTTGGTTATCACGCTCGCTTAGCATATCATGTGATTGCGAGAGGGGTCCGGTTCGATCCCGGACATGTCCACTTGTTTTGCTTTGCTTTGCAGAGATCCGGTTCAATCCCGGTTGGGTCGATGCTGGACATGTCCATGTTTTGTTTTGCTTGCCCATACAATGTCCATAGCAGTATTAGACCGCTATTCATGTTTTTGTTTAAGTTTGGTAGAAATGTGGCGCCAAGTAATGCCCCGGCCCGGCGACCTGGTACATACACACGGGCGTCAGACGTTGTTCAGTTTCGACTTCTCGTCCTCCTCGTCTTCCTCGCCCTCGCCGATTTCGCCCTCGTCACATCGCATCCTCGTCACCATCCACATTTCTGAACACCCAGCTATTTTACACAATGCCGCGGGAGATATATGTGAACATATCAATTGAGACTCCTCGGAATGCACCCAGCTTTGAGGTGAGTACGCAGCCACTGTGTACACGACGAGCCTCGTAAGGTGTCTGAATGCAGGAACGTCGTATGCAAGACTACCTCCATGCCTACCGGTCAACAGGCAAACCGCCTGCGCCCTGCCCTCAACAACCAACCGACCGGGCCCAGCGTGCTGTGCTTGGGTTGCCTCCCTTCATCGAACCATACTCGGAGCTTGTTCACATCAACACAGACGTCCTTATGGGTCGCCATGACGAGCCTGCCTTAACACCGGTAGTCAGTGGCACAGCACGAGGTCCCATACGCGATGTGCAGATATTCCGACCTGAGCCAGTGTCGAATGAAGTTCGCGGAGCGGTATTTCAATGCATTGTGTGCCAGCCAGAGTTCCTCGCCTGGTCAGTGGAGGTGCGTATGGCCACCTTTACCGTCATAAAACCTTGTGGCCATAAGCAATGCTAAATATGTATCGCTGTCGATGCCGCTCAACTCTGTCACCAGGAACTCAGAGCATCGGCATACGCCATGGGCCACAAATATGCTCCTGAACCAACGCCACGGCCCGCACTGGGCACAATGCGTGAGTTTGACCATTGTCATGCGGGATGTAATCATTGAAATTGTAGTAGAACCTACAATGAATGGTACCGCCCCCGAGAACTTCCAGAGCCTCACTTGCAAACCAGACTACATGAAGCACAATTTCGAGGTACGTAGAACTCTTGATCCGTGAAAGCAAGGCTCAAGGCAGTGGCGCAGGAATTACGCGTGGCCTTCTATCGCGCAGGGCGCCAACTAAAATCCACAGAGATCGTTGAACGGAATGCTACTCTCCGGATGACTGCCCTATGAGCTACCCGAGCACCCAACACTGTACTTATCGAATTGCTATCGCACGTTTTCCTGTATAACATCATTTTTGTATCATTGGGAGTCGATTGTTATTCTGATATATAATATCATAAATACTGCTCCTTGTAATATAATACAGCACGTCGTACAACTTAAATGCGCACACCCCAGGTGCTGCTTGTGAGTATTCTTTCTTGCGGCTCTACCGCTTGATGCCCGAAAGCCATGACCGCATCCTTGCGACGCGCTCTGCGCGGGCTAACTCATCCTCCGAAACCTCGCCCTTCCAGATGCTCAGGAACTCGGGCTCGTCGTCAATGCACCGAAGAGCAGTGTCGACACTCTTCTTCGACACGAAGGCGAGGTAACAGCCCACGATGGACATGGCGTCTGTCGGCCGCCGTTGTGGCGTCGAGATGAGGACGCGCACGGCTTGCTTCTTCAATACAGCGGGCGGCTGCAAAGTGCTGTAGGGAAGCGTCTCCGCGAGGAAGTCGCGAGCCGCGCGGAGCTGGGTCTCGGTGAGCGCAAGACCGGCGCGTCCGGACTTGGGCGGGGATGGCTCTGGGAGGACGAGACGGAGTCGGTGGATGCGCCCCTCGAAGGCCTTCTCGGTGGCGCCCGCATCGTACCCTGGTGGCGGGTGGCAGACATCGATGATATGCGTGTAGGCCGTCTCTTTCACGGCGTCCGATGTCGTCTTGAATGCGATGAACAGTCCGGGGATGACCTCTTGGAGGCATGATGCATCGGCAGGTCCCGGTGCAGGCACGAGGGCCCCGGGTGTGCCAGGTGCCGCAGGCGCGGCGTGTTCGGGCTCGTCGTCATCAAGGACGATGCGCTTGATATTTGCCTTCCGCCGACGTGGGAGGTGATTGCGGTGCGGCTGTGTGTGGCCCTTGGGCGACCACGGATCTGCACATGGCTGCTGCTGCCCGAACGATGTCTTGATTGTCAGGCTCAGTTGTGCGTTAAACCCGCAGCGCTCGCGGAGTGGCCTTCGTAGCGCAGGCACTGGAGGCGGGAACCGGGCGAGCGGACTCGTAGGGTAGATCCCAACAGTAGGCAGTGGCGTCGATTCGACAGACACCCTCAATTTAGGTGCTTGGATGATAGTGGCCATAATATGCGATGGATATAGCGAGTGACGTGAATGTCTAGAGAGTGCGGTGGATCAGAGTGAGATCGAGTTCCAGACTCGAGGAATGTATACGAACTGGTAGTGTTGATATGAAGCGAGCCAAGTTACTTATATATTGCTGAACGTGCGCGACACGAGGATGGTGGCGTGAACAATGCTATCTGCACGAGGAAAGGCGATGCCGGTGATTATGATGGGCTTGAGCTTCTCCTTCTCCTTGCCTCGTTGTTTGGTGGGGTCCGTTCCACGGCGATGAGCTTGCTTTATATGTCGGATACACCTGGCTGGAGAACCCTCGGATGGATGTCTAGCGAAGTCCAAAGTTCTCCCGTCATGCGCCTTGTTCCGCACCCCGATAGCAGGTTCCGCTGTGCATGAGAAGTAAGTGGCTCTACGGAGCAAGAATCCTCACTGACGCTGTAAATGCCGCCCGATCCAGTTCGAAATGGCGTGTCTGTGTTCCGATTGGTTACATATCCGCTCTGGGGGCTTGACTCTGGAGTTCAGCACTCTCGTAGTCTGTTTTGGAATCACAGCGCACACACTCGGCATCATCCTATACCGTCAGTGTATCCGCTATAGAGGCTATCGTATCGGTAACTCTGTCAATTACCTCAAGTAATCTGGGATCGGTCCTAGCGCGTAGCAAACGACACCTTTAGTGGCAACTGAACACCCTTCTCCTGTTCGCCCTCCAACGTCGGTACCATGACCAGGGCGTTTTCCCTCCTGAGTCGCTTCAACTCCTCTGTCATGCCGAACTCAAAGTTCGATAGTAGCTGGCATAGGAAAGCTTGGAGCTCGATGACGCTACATGCATCCAAGAAGTAAGCTCCACTGCAATGAAACGAATTGAAGCAACGCACGCAAGACGCCAACCGATGCAGGCTCGTATGCCACCGGAAAAGGTCAGACTGCCATGGCGTCAGAACAATTGCGCTGGACCCATTACACAATGAACTGACATGTTAGCGAATACGCCCACAGTTGGTCCGCGCTTCCCTGTGAAGTCCAAGAAACGCTCCGGGTTGAAGACATGTGCGTCTTCACCCCAAAGGCCCTTCTCCCTGTCCCAATTATGAGTCGTACATCCCATGTGATGAGACCGAACGCACCTATTATACGCCGCAACTGAGAGAGTCAGTCGTGTTCCCTTTGGGATGTGGATCTCGTCGACTACTTTGCCGGACAAGGTCCTGAGGGGCTTTGAGAGGGGAAGGACGTCATCCTTTAGCGCTTGCCGATAGTTGTGGGGAACGGCTGGGTGGTAGCGGAGGACCTCTCGCACGAAGGCTTGCAAGAAAGGCATGCCTTCGAAATCAAACGAGGAGAATGCAATATGGCCGCGTTCTCGAACGGATCCCTCCATGGTGCGGATCTCAGCTCTGAGCTTGTCTTGGTAGTGCGGATTCCTGGCTAGTTCGTAAAGGGCAAAACTGAGCGTGTTGGAGCTTGTTTCTTGGCCCGCCAACATGATAGTCCTGTATTACTAAGGGTCAACCCCACGAGAAGCGTGGTGGTAGGTACACGCTCACCTCATCTGGGCTATCATCTCGTCATCGGCGAGTTTGGTATTCGCATGCTCAGATGCATTCGCCCGCACTGTCGGCGACATTCGTCTTCACCAGCACACGGGAAGGTCGATAATGTGCATACCTATAATGCTCATCACGTCGCGGCTACCTTTGCTACTAAGCAATGCATCTGACTTCAAGTCAAGCAGTCGCCGAGCCACCTTGTGTGCTGCTCGTCTATTCTGGCGAGCTTTGTCAAGGCCCTTGCCAGGAAAATTAGCGTAACACCATTCAGATATGCCCATCGGTACGTAGTGGGCCGCGCTTGTCCAAAACAACTTCGACTTCGACGGACTCGAGAAGATGCCTGCTCTGCCGTACATCATCGCATCGTCAGCCATAAGGCCGGCTTGACTGCGAGGTGTTCACTTACACGAGGCTGTTGTATCCCTGTGCAAGCTCGTTGTCGGAGTTGTCCAGGCAGCCAAGTTTGTAATCAAAAGCAGCTTTCGACACCGTTAGACACGAGCGTGTGTCACGGGTAGATTGCATACCTTCGCCGATCGCATCCAGCGTTGCGGGTGCAATCAATTTGATAACGTTGAGCACCGCCGTTTGCCCGGGAGAGTTTTCGAGTATCTCCCGCCACTTCAACGCTACCTAGTTAAAAAGCTACTGAGATGCGAATTCAATCAGTGTGTAGGATGCGACAAACCTGTTCCGCATAGTGTTCGAATATAGGCAATAGTGCCTTGGCTTCGGGCGACCCGAAAGCAGGCAGCATGACTTTCCTCTGCCGCCTATGTGTCTCCCCTGACGCAGTATTCAGCATCTACTGGAAGAGGAAGTGAATAGTAGGCGCGAACCATCGGCCCACGTCAGCCCGTGATCACCAATAAGCCCAGAGAGTACACGGCGCTCGGGCTGCTTGGGGAAGTTGTAACCCGAGGTCTGGTAGATATACTGTAGTGCCTTCGGATCCGATAGCCACAACATGTCAACCTGTCAAATGTAGCGTTAGTTTCATCCTCATAGATGGAATGCGTCAAGACATACACCGAAAGGACCCTTGATCCTCGCCACGCCACCAAACTCGTCCTGGTACCTGAAATCAGCCTCGCCCGCCTGTTTTTGGT